TTTACACAGAAGTTCTATCATAAACGACTTAGAACTTTGATGATAATGATTTATTTAGTTACCACTTATTGATACAGTAATGAAATAAATCGTTTAATATTCTCTTACCTAAACGACAAATTGTTTATGTAAAACCTGTATACGCGAGCTACGCCGCGGGCACAGCTAGTAAAAAATATATAATGATAATGAGTTATTATTATTACGTTAAAATAAGAACTCGAAAAATAATAGGTGGGATAGTGGTCAAGCACTGGTTTATAATAAGTAAAAAAAAAAATTCTTTTCTTAAAAAAAATGGCACGTGTCAGCTTCGACTCGTGACCACAGAATAAATAATTGTATTCGCTATTAGTACTAGTGTGACTGGAGTTTACCTACTGCTTATGAAGCTGTCGAATCATTTTGTAATAATTATGTATTCACAAGTTTCTGTTGTTTGTTATTTCAATCTTAACCAGATAACGAATGATATTTTTTTCGAACTGGGTGATGTTCTTGGTTTAGGTTGCAGAAAAGAAATCATTTCAACTCGTAACTAACACATACCTGACTATCAACTTAGTATATCTTTGAGTTTAAAAATTAACAAATATTTTTAACGATTGAAATTAACAGATCATTTTTTACCTAATAAATAAATTCAACCATTAATAATAATGTTTTCCACACAGAGGTGGAATAATGAAATTGTACATTTTGTACAATTTCCATAATTAATTTAATAATTATAGGTCTTCAAACTATAAGTAATTACTGAATTCGTTGCGTACGTTTATTTCAGATTTTAATACTATATATTTGGAAAATCTAAAAGTGCACACCTCACACGCTTATTAAGATAAACATTAAAATAAAAAAAAACAGACAATCTGATCGACTTTCATTAATAATTACTTATAAATGTACTTCAATAACAAAATCCTCCTACCAATTTTTTTTCCATAAGAAACGTTACACTAAGATTTTCTCCTGTATCGTGGGAACAGTTTACATACACTTTTACAAGGATAAACGTCTAGACCTCGAAAAATTATTTATGGATCATACAAATACTTGCTCCGTGCGGGATTCAAATCCGAGGCTCTTAGCGCTACAACTCATTGCTAAGCTATTGCGCCACAGAGCCGTCAATTACAGACCCCAAGTGTATGCGCAAGCACAGGTGCACTCTCTTTTCCCTCACTCTCGTAATCCCATATGACGGTAATCTGACTCGACCGGAGAGAGCCTTTCACGGGGGTGAAACACCGCCAACTTTCTGATTCCGTTTTGCTACTGAGAATTTCTTACTGAAAACCCAATAACTGATTTTGGCTCGACCCAGGATTCGAACCCGGGACCTTATGATGACCAATCGCGTTTACAACTACTAGAGCAACGAGGCAGTCATTCAAGCAATATCGCTATCTTTACACGTGTATAATATAAGATACACGAATGTGATACGCGGACGGGCAACATAACGACCTTACTTTTTGTTAACACTCGATTTCATTCTTTATCTAATTTAGTTGTGTATCGCCGGGAATTTGCATTTGAAAAAATCCAAAATTAGGGGCTTTTTAGGTGCTAACTAGGTGCCGAGTTTAAAAATTAGGTGCTCTAAAATTTTCACCGCAACGAACTGTTGAAATTTGCATCTGCTATGTTCTGAATAACGACTTTATTTTTATCTGGGGCGCCTTGTCATTGCCTATATTTGCAGCACCTAATTAGCACTTAATTCCTTGCTATTAATATTTATCGTATATCTAATAACTTCACTGCGTTCCTAGCGAGACGTTTTGCTAGCAACGCAAATTTCAACAGTTCGTTGCGGTGAAAATTTTAGAGCACCTAATTTTTAAACTCGGCACCTAGTTAGCACCTAAAAAGCCCCTAATTTTGGATTTTTCCGAATGCGAATTCCCGACTTTGCGTTACCAGCGATACACAACTATCTAATTTTTGTACCGCGGGTGTATATGAAAATCGGTTCTTAAGAAGTAAATCCCAAAAAGCTTGAAATAAAATTGAAATTACTAATTCTCTTTAACCAATCCAAGTATGTTTAAAATTCTTGTGCCAGAACTAGTTAAAGACGTCAGTTGTATTACGCATTTCAAACACGCCTTTTAAGTCCGCAGTCCGCATCATTGGCATAATATATTTGCATGCTACTTTTATGACTGAACCAGACGATCTCTTGTTACATTATGTTCATCTTCGTTGGAATCCGTTCAAAGCAAATAAAATCTTTCATGGATCCTTTAACAGTACTATGTCGTGATTGTGTTGCGCTTATCATACAATTTTTAGTTTTAATTTTACTTCCGTAATATCATCAATGTACACGTATTACAAAATGGGGATTTATGGGTAACTAGATGTCATGAAAGGTTTTTTATAAAACCGTAGTGACAAACAAACTTACGGTGTACCTGATAATAAGTGGCTAACTCGCTGAAAACTGTAAACTTCACATGTTTTGTTTTGTTTTGTTTTTTTTTTAAAACGTTACCCCCACACTAGGATTTTCTCCTGTGTCGTGGAGGCAGTTTACAAACATAAATTGCACAAGGACAAACATCCAGACACGGAACAATTATTTGTAGGCCATACAACTTGTTCCGTGCGGGATTCGAACCCGCGGCCCCCAGTGCAACAACTGATTGCTAAGCCACAGCGCCACGGAGCCGTCAAACACAAACATGAGACACCCTTTTCTGATAGGCATTGATCTGCGCTTGTGGGGAGTTAACCTATGGCTTTCCGCTGAGAGCACGCACCGCCCAAGGATGCTTCACAGACCGTTGGAGTAAAAATTAAAGGTTCTAACGCCATCCCTATAATTGTGCTGGCTATTTGTTGTTTAGGTAATAAGTAGTCAGTGTTTGCAACGGAAGTTTCATATTTTGATTTTGTAGGAAAATACTGCTGCCTTTTCTATCACTAAACGGAAATTAAAGGGATGATCACATACATCATACTTGTTTATATAATTTTAAGATAATATTATAACTACTTTTGCATGCTTTAAGCGCAAAGTACGTAGGTATGTTCTACTATTACTTTTTGAGTAAAAGATGCATTGATTTTGATCCAAAAGTAACTGAATCCAGTGAATCAGAATATATTTGAAAGAGTAAATTAAATATTTTTTATAAAACCAAAATATGAATAATACTAATGCACAGGTCTTCTAGTTCAGCTGCAGATGCTGGTTCAAATGTATGTATCAAATTAGCTTTATTAAGTGTTAATCAAATATCTGGTTGTACTAGCTTTTGAAAAATAAAGAACTCATTATTATTATTATTATTATTATACAAAATTTATCTCTCTTCTATTCTTATAACTTAAGTCATAAAATTGTAATTTTTATGACTTAAGTTGTTTATGTCATTTATACTATATTTTATACTTGTGTTATGTTTTACATTTACAAGTGTATAAGTAAAATATACTTTAAATCAGTTTGGCAACAATATCATCGCATTTCGAGAAATTCAAGGCGAAACAGTTTACTAAAGTACGAAGTAGAGATGAGTCGAAGCCTGGTTATGTGGGGTACCCAGCGATCGGATACCCAACGCATGATTAGCCGGGTACCCGACGAAATTGTCCAGCATTTGGAGGCTAAAGGCCGTGTGTTCTGATAGTTTGCCCTTTGGAAATGACGCGGACAGGCACTGCGTGCTCAGTCTATCAAATTAAAAAAAACCGAGATGTCAATCGACGAATTAAACTCGGCTGGGCAGCGTTCGGGAAATTACGCCACATCTTCTTGTCAGGTATACCTCAAAACTTGAAAACGAGACTGTACAACCAGTGCGTGTTGTCAGTGATGATCTATGGAACTGATACATGGTCCTTCACTGCTGACGGTATGAAGACGCTCAAGGTCGTTCAGCGAGCTATGTTGAGGGCTATGCTTGGGGTTTCTCTGCGTGATAAACTAAGAGATGAGGATATCCGCAGCAGAACCAGAGTGACCGGCATAGCCCAACGGATTAGTATGCTGAAGTGGCAAAGGGCCGGCCATATAGCTCGAAGAACCGACAACCGACGGGACAAAAAGGTTCGAGTGGCGGCCTCGTACCGGCAGGCGAAGTGTAGGGCGTCCCCCCACTAGATGGAGTGACGGCTTGGTAAGACATGCAGGAAGTCGATGGAAGCAGATGGCTCAGGACCGTGCTTTGTGGCATTCCTTGTGGGAGGCCTATGTTCAGCAGTGGACTTGTGAAGGGCTGTAATGATGATGATGAAAATATAATAATATAAAATAATATAACAATAATTTCCAATGGCCGCTCTATAAAGCCTGGTCTCATCTTTATATATAAAATTACGTGTCACATTGTTTGTCCGCGATGAACTCCGAAACCACTCAACCGGTTTTAATAAAATTTTGTAAATGTGTACTGCTTGCTCCAACTTGAAAGAAAGGATAGTTTTTTATCGCGACAAGTGACCCTCAATATTTTTATTGCAAATTTAAAGATTTTTTAAAGGAAGAAGAATCGTCGGAAAGAGCAGAACAAAGTTTGCCTGGTCAGCTAGTTATTTTATATAATCAAGTACAAACCTAGCCTAACTACCTAATAGGCATATTTTTCGCCGGATTTTCTTTCAAAATAGTTTTTACGTACACTTTGAAAATACGGTGGACTTCTCATTCTCGACCCTTAGCTCTCAGGTAAAAGAGAATTATTTGTATCGATTTGTGCAAAGCATATAAAATTTAAAAGTTTCCAGGCTAAGTAATATATTTTTCCTTAGATTTTCTTTCATATTAAATTATTTTCTTTACCAAGGCTAAATTATATCATTTTCGTCAGATTTTCTTTCAAACTAAATTGTTTCTTTATAAGTATCATTTGAAAATATTACTATGAACTCCTCAATCCTTAATAAAACTAGTATTAAAATTTGAATTGGTTTGCGTTATACATAACAGATTTCAAAAATCACGCACACTTATATAATATGTGTAAAATAAAAAAAAAAAAACTTACGCAGATTTCCCGCGAAAGCGCTTGCCGCAAAGCAAAGAACTGCCGAAATATACACTTGCGTATGCATTTTGTAAATGTCAATATCAAAAGATTAATGTATAAAATTTAAAGCCAAGTTATTAACGCTCGACAGGCTTTACACTGCATCGGATTTTTAACGCGCCAGTCTTTTTATATGTTGCGCAAACTTTTAACGAGAATGTACCTCGACGCAGAATACGCATGCAGACGTTAACACTGAACAAAATTACGTATTTAACATGTGTTGACTACTGTACTGTATTGCAGTTAGCGCCATAATTTGACTTGCAAACCACATAATGGTAATTGGCCACTAGTGCACGCTAGGAACTGCAACCGACAAAGAAAAAAAATGTTTTTATATAGAACAAGCAAAATGGTAAAAGCGTAATTTAAAAACCCTTTGCGTAAAAAATTTCGCCCTCTCTTTTTTGTATTTGCAGATGCAATATATAAATATTATATAGCCTATGTCACTCCTACAATTAAGTCGAATCTAACTATACTTCATTTTTTAAAATCAATCAAATCGTTTAGACTACAGAGCGTGCCAAATAAATAGACATAAATACATACATACATACCGACTCGTGAAAAACAGTCAGTAGGGCAGTCGGGTAAGAAAGGTGACCAACAAGCACGCAGTTCACCTGATGGTAGTGGATCCTGTGACCCAAAGACATCCACATGTATTACCTACTAAGAATCAAAAAAGGGGCTCCGGTTCTCTACACTCACCATACGAAACCCAGTAGGATTAAGGTGCTATTTACTCCAAATAGTCATCCTTAATGACTAAACTAAGTTAGAACACCATAGCTAAATATATTAATTACTTAACATTTCAACAAAGAGCCATGGCTGACACAAATTGGAATATGTGCTGCTTTTTTGGGTTGGTCTACTTGAGAGTTTACGATGCAGTTTTCGAGTGAAAGCTTGAACTAACTTCAAATTCTGACCATAGGCCACTGCCATAGGGTGGATATTTGCAAAAGTTGTCATGCTTGGCAGGCAGGTCGGCAAACGCTGTTTTCTTTTATTAATTTGAAATATTATCAGAGAGATACTGCCGATGATTTCCTTGTTAAAATTGATATTGACGGAATGTTATAATGATGATAATCGTGATGATGATGATGAAATTACGTTACGGTGCGTACACATTATATAATATAACATGTTATAAAACGTGTTATATAACGGGACACAAAAGTTATATAACTCGATGGGCAGAACGACAAACGACAATGCTATACGACAATGTCGTATAACATTGTTATATTGCATTGTTACTCTAATGTGTACAGTATTGTTATATGTTGCAATGTTGAAAAACAATGTTACATAATGTGGACGTGTTATAAAACAATATGTGTTATACAACATGTTACTTGATCTTACGCACCCTTAAATGTAATGATAATTTTAATATAAGCTTAAAATTTATCTTCTTTATTTTATACTACAAAAAATTTGATGGATCCTTTCGCTGTCCCGTACACTGCATATCGGTCATTGCCACATAGTAAGACAACATTACTATTGTGTCTGAAATTCGGACAGTGAAAGTGTTAACATGCCAAGTTACAATTTTTATTTAAATTAATTGTATAACGAACATTCATGTGATTTTAGCGCTTTTTGTATGATATATATAATTAATTTAGAATTATCCATAGGCCAATGGGCCCCTCCCTTGGTTGCCCGTCGCGACTACCACTCATGGGCCCTGGTTTGTCGGGGCAACTAAGGGCGTGTACATATATATTATATTGTATCAAATACTCAAGTATACTGTCCCTTGGAGCTGTGAAAAAATCAAACTTCTAAGCTAAGGCAATCAAAAGATACAGTCGTTTATGCCGCAAATTATCCACATTCACAAGGGAATCAAAACCTACAGGGTACTTCCCGTGAACTCTAAATCTTAAAAGTTGGTACGAAGCAACGTATTATAGCACAGATAAAGGAAAAATTGCGAAAAGCATAAATTTTTAGTTACAACATATAATAAAAATATTTTTAATAATTTCAAACTTATATACCTACGGATTTATTCGGAACCCTCGGTGCGCGAGTCCGACTCACACTTGGACGGTTTTTTTATAGGATAAGGGTGACAAGCGAGCACATGGTCCACCTGATGGTAAGTGGTTGCTGAGGCCCATAGACATCTACATCTATTCTCGTTTGCGAATCAAAATGCACATGCGTTGCCACCAGTGAGGACTAAGATGGAATGCCTCTTTTCCAGTAAAAAGGGTCTCCGGTTCTCTACACTCACCATGCGAAACACAGCAGCATTAATCTGCTATTTTACGCTGGTATTCTGTGAGAGCGTGGTCCTTCCCCGGTCGAGCCGACCCATACGTGCTTCAACTATACAATTAATATAGCTGCAGCATAGCTCTACCACGTATAAAAAGGAATTGCAATATTCCCGCGATAGTCGGAATACAACTGCCTCATTGGTATTGTGTTCTTGAGGTCTGGGGTATGAATCCAGGGTCAGCCCAAAACCGGTAATTGGGCTTTGTGGCAAGAAATTCGCGGTACCAGCCCGGAATCAGGAAGTTGGCGGTTTTTCACCCGGTAAAGCTGTTGGATTACCGTTTCATTAAGGCCAGTTTATAATGGTCACATCGTACTATGAGAGTGAGGGAACAGAGAGTGCATCTGTGCTTGCGCATACACTCGGGCATTGTAATCTTGTCCTACGCGGATAGCTAGTCTCCGTTCCGACTGGTCCGCCGTGACCGAAATTCGGACTGGAGGACATTATTATTATTATTATTAATGTAAAATTATGTATGTGTAGGTACGTCTAATGATTTTTGAGTTACACTTATAGACACTGTGTTGGTGCGTTGGCGTAGCCCTTTTGTTTTCCGAACTTGGTAGGCTCACTGTAGTGTGTGTTCATCAGTTAATCAAATAATAAAGGGTCAAAAGAGCGCTGGTTTATCGACGCCATTTTGACAGTTGAAATCGTAGTAAATATTTTAGTCAAAGAGATTTAAATATATAGGTATACTATACTTAAATGTCTTTGATTTTAGTCGATTTTAATATTGTGTGGTGTAGTTAGTTTTAATTAACTTGATTTTTCGAAGTGTTCCTAATTGCCAATACCTGTTTGCTATTTTTTCTTAATATATTAGTTATAGTATACGAATTTTTTTTGTCTCCCTCCTCCTCATAGTTTTGGTTTTATAAGGCGGCAAAGCTTATGCTAAGCATATTGCCCTCATGCATCTTAGAATTGTTTATTCAATATATGGATACAAATAATTAATGTTCGGTGGTGAAGAAAATTCTTGAGGAAACCTACATGTCTGCGAAATAAGAAAAAATATTTCGAAGACGTGAAGTTCGCCAACACACATTCGGGCAACGCCGCCGCTTTGCGGCAACATTTTGTGTCCCTAAAACCTTCTCAGGAAGCCTCTGCCAAACTGTGGGGCGTATATAGGCTATAACTTTACTTTTATATATTGAAAGTCATTCTTCGTTCGAAAAGAGGTAGTAGTAAAAGAAGAGATGCATGATGGAATGATGAAGTGAAAGAAGCTATAAAGAAGAAGAAGAAAGCATGGTTAGACTACTTGGCCTCTAGTAATGATAAGGATATGAGAGAGAAGATGAAAGAAAGATATAAGCTGCAGAAAGTTCACACGAAAGGATTGATTGAGGAAGTGCGTGAAAGGTGTAGAATGGAAGCGGAAGAAAGGTTGTCGCACAACTTTAAAGAGAACTCCAAACTCTTCTGGAAAGAGGTTGGAAGGACCCGAAGTGGTGCGACGGCCTTAAGAATGAACAAAGTGCTTTCGAGAACCAATGACGTCCTCTCAGAAAAATCGGACGTCATGCAGCGATGGAGCGAATTTTATAGAGAAATGTATGCGTGTGATGATCTTAGTGAGGGATCCGGGGGTAACGCCGTGACTGGTATGCCAGACCCGGACCTCGATGACACTGAGGTCATCAGTATGAAAGAGATTGAACGTGCGATTCGAAGTTTGAAATGTGGTAAGGCTGCGGGACTAGACAGAGTTACTGCTGAAATGGTCAAGTATGGTGGGCCTCGCGTCTGGGACAGCTTTCATCTGCTGTGCAATTTGTAGTGGCCGACGGGGGATGTCCCGGATGATTGGCGATCCGCAGTCATTGTGCCTTTATGTAAAGGTAAAGGTTCACATTTTGACTGCGGGTGCTATCGGGCGATCAGCTTGACCAGTTTAGCAAGTAAAGTTTACTCGAAGGTTTTGACATTTACGATGCAAGAGGAATCGGAAAGATTTCTATGGGAGGCACAATGCAGATTTAGATCTGGAAGAGGATGCACGGATCAAATGTTTTCTCTCCGCATGATCACGGAAAAGCTTCTGGCTGCTAACCAGAAGATTTTCTGTGCTTTCGTGGATCTTGAGAAAGCATTTGATAAGGTTGTAAGGAAGAAAATGTGGGAACTGTTGCCGGGGTATGGTGTGGATGGTCGATTGCTAAGGGCTGTGCAGTCACTTTACTGTGACTGTAAAGCCTGTGTGCGGGTAGGGCATGACCTGTCACCCATGTTTAGCGTCGAAACGGGCGTAAAACAGGGTTGTGTCATGTCTTCCTGGCTGTTCATACTGTATTTCGACAGTTGTTTACAGAAGCTGAAAGATAGGTGTTTGGGTGTGAAATTGGGTGACATTAAAGTAAATTGTCTGCTGTATGCTGATGATGCAATGCTTATTGCACCATCAGAGGCAGAACTGCAGGCATTAGTCACGTGTATGAAAGAGGAATGTGAAATTAAAAGTCTCCGTTTGAATGCCAATAAAACTAAGGTTCTGGTATTTGAAAAGGACGAAGAGAGAACGAAGTGTGAAATATGGGTAAATCAGGAATGTCTAGAACAGGTAAATGAAATTGTATACTTGGGGAGTGCTTTTAGCCGGGATGGAAGATGTGATTTAGACGTGGACAGGCGTGTCGCTGCCGGGAACAAAGTCAATGGTGCCCTGACTGCGTTAGTCAAAAGGCAAGGCGTAGTGAAGA